CTACCTAGCTGACTTAATCTAGGAGGTACAATAGATATTGTAAAAGGGAAGGAAACTGCTCAAAAGGAAAGAACAATAGGGTTCAGAGAAAAGAGAAGAGAAATAAAGAAGGGAAAAATATGTATATATGTATGAACAGGATAGCTAAGATAGTTATACTACTGATTTCTATTGCTTCATTGAAAGGAACAGTTAATGTTTAATTTGTTTGATCAATCTTACATGCCTATATTTGTTTATCTGAGTAACCAATCTGAAGATATCAATATGTAATCCAACAACAATTGTTAATTTCCTATCACCTTGTCTGAAATTATGTATCGCTTGTATTGTTTTTGTGTTACTTTGTAAATGTATGTGTGTTTGTTAATATATTTTCCTTCTATCTTTAAATTAAAAAAATTTTTTCACAGAAGTACATCACCATTGATTTTACACTACTCTCTTATTAGTTTTTTGACATCAGTTGAGGATCCTACAATTCATGTCAATTCTGATGTTGTCTGGAGTTAAGCATGATCCTGTTAAAGGAATTGCCCCGCTTCAGACACTAGTGAGAAGTCCTGCATTCCTAATCTACCTGGGCTTCTTTCTGACTTGGCTACACTTTCAAGGTTTCTCATGCCTCCTCCTTTAGATCTAGTAATGGGTTAGAACAACTCACAGAACTCAGGAATGCATTATTGTTAAAAATATATTTTTATTTTAAAGGACATAATTCATGAATAACCAGGTGGAAGGGATCCATAGGAGAAGGGATACTGGGGTTAGGGATAACTCCAGCATGCCATGATCTCTCTAGAGAAATCTGGAAATGCCATTTGCAAAACACTGATGTATTCATGAGAACAGAAGCACTCCAAACCTCATCATTCACAGGTTTTTATTGAGGCTTCATTATATAGGCATGATTAATTAAATCATTTTCCACTTGATTGAACTCAGTTCCAGCTTCTCTTCCCTGCTTGGAGGTTGAAGATAAAGCCAGCATTTCAATCCTCTAATAATGTGCAGATCTAGCCCTTCCTGTGAATGTTTCTGTGGGCATAACAAATCATGAATGAAATATAAACTCACAAAGGAAGGAAAGAGGCTTGTTATACATAGCAGAAGACACATTTATCATTCACGAATTTCCAAGATCTTTTTGAAACTTTGTGCCAGGAATACAGGGCAAAACTCTGTGTATATATTTTTTATTATATATTTTTTACTATACCACATAAGACTGTATCCATGTTCAACAGAGCAATCAGTAATTTCTTACTGGTATGAAGTCTTCCAAACTTCATGCATTTCTCTTTTTTGTGTTCTATTAATCAAAGCCACATGCGAGACCATTAGGAACTATCCAGGCCATGCCATGTTAGCTGATTCCTTTGAAAATATGAATCTGTAGAAGGCTGAGACAGGTGGATGGTAAGTTCAAGCCCAGCCTGTGCAAATTAGTGAGACCTTGTCTCAAATTATTTTTAAAGAAAAATGTGTGTGGGGAAGGGGTAAGTCTGGAGATGTAGCTTCGTGTAAAGATCCTGAGTTCTATCTCCAGTAGTGAAACAGAAAAAAATGGGAAGGAAGAAAGGAAGGAAGGAAGAGAAATGAAAAGAAAACAAAAGGAAAGGAAAGAAAGGAAAAGAATAGAAGAAAGGAAAGAAAGGAGCACACAAATTTGTTTACAGAAGTCTGGTTTCTCATTTAGCTTCAGGTATCATGATTTTTTCCTGGTTTGGGCTTTGAGTCATTTGTGTCACTTACTGGGACAACAGTTATATAGAATCATTTAGTACTATAAACATTATTAGATTTAAGCATGCAAAATCAGCCTAATAATGTTTGTAATACTAATCATCTGGTAATCTGAGCAACTTCTTTGACAATAACAACATGTAATATAACCAGCATTGTTAATCCTTATCATTTGGTTTGAAACTCGACATCATTTTCAATGTCCTTGCTTTATTTTGTTTGTATTTTGCTATTGTTCTTCTTTTTTACTATTCTCTTTAAAATAAGAACAAAAACAAAATAGAACAGAACAAAGAAAAACATTGTTAGATAGCATGAGATGACTCCAAAAGCAGGTATAATTAAAATATTATAAAAAGAGACTGCTCTCTGGAAGAATTCCCAGGTTTATCAAACAAATAAAGTTACAGAAGAGGGGTAAATTGATTATATTCTCTATAAACCTAGAAAATATTTCCTCTTGGTGTTTGTTTACTAAGAAGGCCGATGGATCCCGGGGTGGTAGGTTGCATCATGAAACTTATTGAGCTCTCATTTGAAACCTTCCAGTGTTATGTTAGTCTGTGCACCTCACGGCTAGACTGCTCCCTGTGCCTCTTTGCAGAATTTGGGGCCCAGTTCCGAACATCTCCACGGATTTGTTTGTCTGCCCTATCAGGGGTCTCTTTTGAAAGACTTCAGTGATTGCAGCCTGCTCAGATTAATGACCTGCTACCATGTTCCCTCTAGATTCCTTATGAAGCACTCCCTCGTATGCTCAACACAAGGCAGTCCAGGCCAAAACTGAACCACATGAGACTAGAATTCAGATAAGTAGCCAAACAAAAGAGGTGAAAACAGAATAGGCAGATGAATTGAAAAAATAGCAAATATTGCAACCAAAGATTGAATGACTTTATACAAAGGCCAATGTCTAGTTTCCTGTGTATAATAAAAATAATTAGAAAAAGTCTTGTCTTATACCATGATTTGTTCTAATTGACACAAAGACCTATTGATTATGACTCTTATGGCAACAAAATAAATTAGCAATAATAATACAACAAAGCAAGTCAGTGGTTATATTTAATTAAGCTCACGTGGCAACAAATTTGAAGAATTTGGCCAGAATCTACTAGGTTAGTGTGCTGATTGGCTGAGAGGCCCATTGTATTTTACCCACTGAAGGTCTATGGAACCTATTCCTGGTCTGATCCTGGAGGAAAGCAAATGGCTTGTCCCATATAGTACTTAGACAAAGAGGTGGTTTCATGCTGGGCTGAGCATAGGGACAGGTATGGTGTGCTGTTATTCTTGCAGCATGGATTATGTTGGTTGCAGAGACAGAAGTTGCTATCCGTCTATGAGGTGTGCTTGCTGTGCTCTACTGAAGTGTGTTTGCTAGAAGCATGGTTTGTCATGGTCTACGGCCAGCAGGGCAATGATCTGAGTGTGAGGCTGTCACTGACTGGCTTCCAACACAGGTTGACTGAAGGGAATTGTCACTGACTAAATAGGTTTATAGCCACTTCTACTTGCTTTTTATAATGTCTGTGGAACAATCATTTTTATTTTAGGAAAATTGACTTTTAACTTTTATAAGTTAGTGGTTATCTGTCTTTTGAAAGTTGAAGAAGATGGCCAATGAAATTATGCCTCAAGTTTTATTGTGGGGAATGTTTCTGTTTAGAAACTATTTCAATGCCTTATTAATATGCAAGCTTTTTTTTTCTTAGTTTTAATTTGATATGTTAAAATTTTAAAATATTAAGGCTGGGGATATAGCTCAGTGGCATAAGCACCTGCTTGGCAAGCACAAGGTCTTGAGTTTGATTCCTGGTACCAAAAAACAAACAAACAAACAAACAACAACAACAACAAAAAACAAAGTATTTGTCCTTCTGGAGAAATTTTCAAGTGATGCAGTGTATTTCTTGGGAATGTTTTCCTTCTCATGATCTGCTTCACCTTTAGTTATATCACAGCATTCTGGGTTTTTTCTCTGTTGGTCTTATCAAGTACTTGCATACTTGATTTATATCCCATCTTGGTACTGTTGGTACTATTGACCTAGTGATTTTATTTTATCCTATTGTATCTTTGTTTTCTATTTTGTGATTTGTACTGTGATTTTATTTTCTCCTTTCTTCTATTACACAAAGGCATATTTTGTTTTTCATTTTTAAATTTATAGATTAGTGTGTAGTATATTAACTTTCAGCCATTATTAATTTCTGATGTACATACTTTATAAAATAATATCAATTAAAGGGTAGTTTATGCAGCCCTACACATTTTGAAATGTAGTGTTTTATTATCATAATTCTGGCTCTGTTAAATTTTCCATTTGAGCTCTTTCTAACTCATGAATTATTTGGCCATGTTTTTCATTTAATTTGTAAGTATAAGATAATTTTGCCTATCTTTCTTTTGTTAAATTCTAAATTTATTGCTCTGTGATGAAAACATATGGTCTCTATCATATTTAAAAAACAGCAGAAAGAATAGAAGGGAGGTTTCTGTCTCAATTTCCTGCAAGCGCCGAACCAGCAGAGACTGTAGGATCCACAACATTTCCCCATATGCATTTCTAGAGACTTCATCCAATAACCCCAAGGGAATATGGGTTCACAGACACCAAAAGAGAGTAAAAAGAATTCTAAAGAGCATATCTATTTTCAAACTATAAAAAGTAGGAATTCATATGCCCCTGGAAGCAGAGAAAATAGAACAAGGGACCAAATATTATAAAATTAACTTTGAAAGTAAAAAAGAAAAGCTATTTTAAATATTCAATGAGAACCAGAAACCATGAGAAGAATGAAGCAGGCTTCCTATGCTTGAAATATGTAATAGATAAAATAAAGAATGTAATAGGTAGGACAAATAATCTATCAAATACAGAACTGAAAGATTGGGTTGAGAAACATTCTAGAAAACAATAGACAAAATAGCATGAAACTGAAAGAAGAATTAAGTTATAAGTAGGAGGAACAGAAGTGCAAACATCCTTCATAAAGTTTCCAGAAAGCAAAAATAAATAAAATTTGAGAGGACAAAATATTTGAAGAAATAATAGAGATAAACTTTCCCAAATTAATAAATGAATAAGAATCTTGAATTGATATGGTTCATGGCATACTAAAGAGAAGAGAAAGAAGCCTATACCTGGACACATAGTGAGACTATCAAAGACAAAGAGAAATTTCCAAAGCTTACAAAAAGAGAACACAGTGCACACAAAGGAGCTACAGTATAATTCAAATTAAACTTACCGCCATCAAGGCTTGCAGAAACCTTCTATCTGAATCTTCAAAAGAGCTTAAAACTTCAGTGAGGTGGCACAATAAGGGACTAAAGTTTTATAGACCTTGGAGAAGTGGTTTGTTTCCATATCTGTAACTAAGCAATAGATTAAGTGTGAGCTCTTGAAATTGTTTTCACTTGAATAAGGACACTCCAATTACTCATATGATTTGTTAGTGAGTTGGCCAGGCCCTTTCTAACTTGTCAAATAGTCTCACAATTATCTTGGACCCTCAATCCAGTCCAATTCTTGTGCCTATTATTTCCTGCCTAATAGTTTTATCCTTATGTTAATACTATACATATATATTATGTATACTATTTATAGTTAGACATACTTGGGGGAGAGGGAGAAATAGGAAGAGAGAGGATTGGAATATAAAAAACAAAAATTATATGTCAGAACATGAACAGTAAGAACAGAAATAGAAATGAAGGAAAGAAATATCAGTGTTATGGCTGCTGTGGTGGAAATAGAGGGATGGGACCCTGTGCACATTGTTGATCTTTTATTGTTCTGGGTCAGCATTTGATGAGAGTTTATTATAACACACCAGCTGAGTGTGTGTGTGTGTTTGTGTTTATGTGTATATTTTATATTGATGATTTACAGAAGATGCTTGCTTAATCTGTGGTTATATAAATTTTTACAAACAGTATGGCTTTGACATTTAGTGTATCAATAAGAGTTCACATACAAGGAATTGTTATATTATAGCTAAGTACACTGTTACTGCAGACAGAAAATTGAAATACATTACATCTAATTGTTAAAACTTTTGCTACAATTACTCTAGTGGATTAACTCCACATCTCAGAGCATTATGAAATGGATTATTTTCAGTTTTTTATATGACTAAGAGTATTTGAAAAATTCTCGATTACTTTCCTAAAATATTTATCCTACCAAGTCATATAAAAGAAAATTTACCTAGCTATATATGTCAGTGTACGTTTTTTACTTCACAGAATGGGTCACAGATTACAATGTGTTCTTCATGCCTATCAGTTTGAAACATGTATGAGAAAACAATTAATGTCTAATAAGAAATATTGTAAGACTTCCTTTTGCCTTGTATCCTGGTAGTTTAAGAATTATACAAATAACTGAGAATTTGAAATATTAAAATCTTTTGGAAAGTACTTGTATTTAAATAATTTTAATTTGCACAAAACATGAATCTACTCTCCTTCCACAAAATATGTTAAATTTACCTAAAAATCTCCCAATTTACCACACTTAATCATGAATCCTTATGAAAAAACCTTAAATTACTTATTATTTGTAAGTATAAACTGAGCCTTATTAAATTATCCTCTTTGTAAATAAAAATAACTATCAGCAATTTCATAAGGTCTAATCTAAAACTTAAATTTTTTGATTTTTTAAAAAAAAGTATTACTCTATTCTGGTTATCTAGTAAAATGTGGCTTTTTCTATACATTTATTTGTTTTTTTGGTACTGGGAATTGAACTCAGGACCTTGCGCTTGCGAGGCAGGTGCTTGTGTCGCTTAGCTATATCCCCGGCCCTAGAATATGACTTTTTCATCAGCCAAGTTATTTTACAAAACAATTATCCTTAATGAATGTTCCACATAGAATTAATTAGTTATTCCTTCAATAATAATTTTTGAGTTTGTTACTTTGTTATTGTATTTCTTTCTGGAACAAATAAGTGCAAGATTAAGGTAAATCCTAAAAGTAAGAATATTAGATCCAAAAATATAGACATTATTTTCATTAATCATTGCCAAATGCTATGGTCTATGTAGAGTACTCCCAAAGTATGACCTTATTAAGATTGTACCTTTTCTACAATCTTAATATTTGATACTTTCCCGTTTAATGTTTTGTTATTTTACTTTTACTGATAGTTGTTCAATTGTTTTAATTAGCTTTTCCTTCACTACTAACTTTTAGGTGAAGTGATAACTGTTCAGTTGTTTGAATTTATGTTCCCCTTATTACTAGTGATATTAAGCATATATGCTGGTTACTTGGGAGTCTCCTGGGAACTGTTCAGAAAAGCATGCATTCCCTAGGAAATCCAAGGTTATTAAATCTGAGCATTTTCTAAATGCCCCAAACACAAATATAAAAAAGAAATGGCTCTTATGTGTAATGGAGTTACTCTTACAGATGATTTAAGCTCTTAAATTCTAGGCAAGTGCTATTTCCAAGTTACACTCCTCTCTCTTCAAATTGGATCAGTTGTAATTTACTAACTCAATAATGGTTTGAAGGCTTAAGTGTCTCCTAAAAATGGCTTACTTTTCTTCTTTTGAACAAAGCATTTTCATTCTGTCACAACAAAATCACTGTATTTTATATATTTTCTGAATTCATTTTAAAATGAAGTTTTTGTGAATTTTGACAATTTTCCTAAAAACGCATTAATGTGGAGTTGTAACACAAGCTTCCTGTTCCAAATCCCTTCCACAAAGAAGTTTGCTTTTTTCCTGAAACTGGATTGCTCTGCTAACTGTGTTCCGGGGCCCTTGAACTTTCCTTTACTAGTGCATCTTTTGCTAGTACAAATATAGAGGATTCACTTATTTTTATACCTGAGTCCAGGTCGCAAAACTGGGCCAAGAAAATGGAGTAAGAGTGACCTTTAGTGGCCACTTTGAGTAATCACAAATGGATGTAGTTTATGTCTCAGGGGATGGGTGGACAGTTCTGTTTACATGATTACTTAAGGTAGAAATATACTCAACTAGAACTGATCAACCATGAAGCTGTTATTTGACTTGTCACGTTCACTCTATTCTAACAGAAGATCAAAATCCTGTAAGTCAGTGTGTAGACAGCTGACAAGGTGTTCTTTTAATTGGTAAGCGGAAATCTAGTCACACCTATTAATGTGACTTAAGAGTTTCAGTGCCTAAATCCCCCGCATAAATAGCTTTGGAAAAGTACCATTTAATTGAGGCAAAACTCCTTTGCTTTCCATGATTTGATAAAAGCCACCTGGTAGTTCTTTGAACCTCAGAACTAAGCAGCAGGGGAAGAATTACTCCTTAAAACCACTTCTGATCTCAGAAAAGAGGGAACCTTTCCTACTTACACAGAAAATCACTTTTAATGGGAATGAAATGCTCAAAATTTGGTTTTGTTCTCCTTCTTCTCCTGCTCCCTCTCCCTCTCCCTCTCGTCCTCTCTCTCACTTCATCTCCTTCTTCTCCTTCTTCATCTTGAGACAGTGTCTCACTATGTAGTTCAGACTGGCCTTGAACTTGAGGTGGTCCTCCTGTTTTAGCCTCTCACATACTGAGATCACAGGCCTGTACCACCATGCCCGGCTTGTTTTTCTTCATTTTGTTAAGGAGTGTCAGTGCCTACTTTTGTAATTCCACCCTAAAATGTAGGCAACATCTCCATAATTGTTACTTCACTCATTTTATAACCTAGGTATTTTTCCTTAAAGACTTAACTTTTCTCCAAAACAAGCACTTCGTATTCTAATTGTCAAAATATAGAAAAATTTCTATGATAAAACTGTTAAAATCATGTTGTAGAGTTTTTCCCCAATGAGAACTTTTAGCATTATAAATAATCTCTATGTATAAATGCTTTTTTATAATATTGTGCTTTGTTTTAATGAATTTATTATTCACTTTTAAATTATCTTTTTCAAAAAAATTGCTATAATGCAATCTGTCCTGTGTGTGATGATAGATTTTTAATGAAGGGGAGACTGGTGATAGGTAACACTTCATGAAAAAAAGTCAAGGTTTTGGAGCCAGGGTCTTCAGACTGTCCCATCCAAAAATGCATGACTTAACAAATATACAAGATAGACAAAGCAATATAGTTTGGTGAAAGACAATTCATGTCATATCAAGAATTAAGAAATCTACAAACAAAAGTTAGTTGAGACAGTAGTTTGCTTCCAGGTATTTGTCAAAAGAAGAAGCCAATTAAGTAATAATTTAATTTCTCTGAAACTTGTAGTATTGTAGTTAATGCTTGCTTATGATCAATTTCAGGTACTCATCTCTCAAGATTTGAGTGAATTACTGAAGTTTATTTCAGGTATTCTCTCTCTCTCTCTCTCTCTCTCTCTCTCTCTCTCTCTCTCTCTCTCTCTATCTATATATATATTTGGACTCAAAGGTTATGAAAAAGATTCAAATGGCACAGGGCAGTTGCTCTATTAAGCAACTATCCTGACGATTCCTTCCAGCCTGCCAACTGATAAACAGGGACAACTGTTAATAATTCTCAACTAGAGAAGCACTGGATCTGCCAAGGCAGAAGACGGGTCCTATGTAACATGATGGTCTAGAAGTAGATTCTGAGGCTACTACATATGGAGCAGGATAGGAGGCAAACATTAAGCTAGAAATTAGAAATGTGGTCAGTAGGGTCAGTTTCTAACTCTCTGACCCAAACTCCAAAGGATAATAACTCACGTTGCCCTAAGAATCTTTATGTAGAGTAAGACCCTGGGAAACCTGAAGAGTGCAAGGACTACGTTCAATGAAGAAGAGGCTGTGCATCTGTAGTAGAAAGGATTCAAAGATTCAAAGGAGTGTGTATGCTGGAGTTTGTTTACTGTATTAGGTTAGGACATGTACAAACTGACATTTTTTGTGGAGGACCGAAAAGAAATTCCATTTATCAAGTAATCACTGAAAGTGTTAGTGAGAGGGCATCAGTTAGATCTTAAGTCCCCATGACTAATAGTAGCAGAGGTTGTTACAAAACTGTGCTCCTTAGTAGCACCCTTAGCCCACCCCAGGGCTTTAGTACGTGCCATGGCACCTCCGTCAGAGAAGGAGATATGAGGGTGAAGGAATAAATGAAATACAGTCCTTAGATCTGTCTCACCTGGGACTGCTGGACTCGCAGAACCACCTGCTGACTATGTTCTTGCTTTCTGAATATGTAAGTAGAATGGGTGTACTGAACTGTTGGCAGAACCTTATCACTCATTGTTTGCCTATTGGAGTAAGAACTATCGTAATAAGAGGGGGCACACAGAAGCCCTTGAAATAGGCCCCCTCTACTTACCGCGATAACAAATCCGAAGCGCTAGTTTGTTTTAAGGGAAAGCGCAGAAGACCATTGCA